AGGCTATGCTCAACGACAACGCATTAGTGGAGGTAGACAAACAGGTAAGACCACTACAGGGAGCTTATGGCCTTTGCTTTTTTCGCTGTCCGCTAGCTGGTCAGGTCTGTCTACTTATGGCCTTTGCTTTTTCCGCTAGCTGGTCAGGTCTGTCTACAACACCAGCTCAATCATTACTTAATGAGGTAGGGATAAGATTTCTCAAGCGGAGAGTGACCTCTTTCTCTACCTCCCATCGGGCGCTGTTAGAGGTTGAGGAGACAGTTTGCCTGATAGAGAAACGCCAACGGCATAGTTGTCACGTCAGAGACAAGGTGGCGTAGCTGACATGTCAGAGGCAAGGTTGTGCAGTTGGCACAGCAGAAACAAGTCATCGTAGCATGAGTTGCATTTACAAGTTTACACTGATTCATTCAAGCTTTCTATTTCCAATTCGGATGTGTGAGTACAAAGTTGGCTTGATACAGAAACTTCAACGAAACAGTCTATCGCACCCCCACCTCGTTTGTTGTCCTCTTCTCCCACTCTGCCTCCGGTCCACCGGGCCGGGCAGTCCTCTATGACAATATACATCTATACAGACTCCTGATGAGTCCGTGAAACTCTGACGAAACAATCTGTTACAGCCCATTGTTTGTTGTCCTCTTCTCCCTCTCTGACAGCCATGTTGTGCCTCTAGTGCCAGCGGCATGTCTGGAGTGTAGTTTCTGGCTGTGACAGACCTTTCTTTGTTTCAAGGGTGTTTTACTGGTTTCGCATGGGGCTGTGAACCTGCATAGAGTTTTCCATCTGGTGTGGATGCATGATAGTCTGCTTTGATCTCCGTCACAGGTTCTTGAGGGCAGTGGAAGTGCCCACCTCATGGTATCAGTTGCCGGGCAGTCGTTGATGCTTAACCACAAGCGGGGTTAAAATGGACTATCAATTACACTGTAATCAGTGACGAAACTCTGCAGACTGTAGAGGGTTCAGCCTCCTGACGAGCTAGTGAAACTGCAATTTAACAGTGTGCCACAGCCCCTCATTGGTTTTCGGGCAATCGTT